TAAACCACAAGAAAACCGCAAGTGACGCTGTGGCTCAAGTGGTAGGTAGAGCACTAGCCTTGAGCTGAAGAGCTGAGGGACAGCGCCCAGGCCCAGAGTTCAGGCCCCACGACCAACCAAAAAAAAAAAAAAAAAGTGCATCAATGATTTAAGTTTTTGCTTGTTTTTGGTGGAATTAACACATGAGTTCTTTGTAAAACAGAAGGAAGAGGCAAGTTATTTTACTACAAGCTTACATTGCTGACAAAGGCTAAAACATAATTACCATGAGCTAAACATATAAATACCATTAAATACAAATTGTCATTGAATAAATATGAAACGCAGAGATGAACAGATAAAGCCAAAGACGCTCCCTGCTAAGAACTGTGTACATTCACATACAAGCAGAGAGCTGAATCTGGATCTAATTTCTTCATGACAAAATTCTATTTTCTGCTGGATCTTTCCCCACCATCAAGCAGAAGGACCCCTTCTGGGGGGCCCTGAGCCTTGGTACAGGCCGGCTGCAGTGTCAGGCACCAAGGAATAAAGGGCGGTGGAAATCGGGAAGGGAAGGAGGAAGGAAGGGGTAATGGGCCCTCCCGTGCCAGCCAAGCGCAGGCTCTCTCAGAGAGATAAACAGCCAAGGAAAAGAATCCTTCCAGGAGGGGTTTGAGAAACACTGGGCATGGAGCAAGTAGGGGAGGGAGGGAGGGAGTGCTTAATCACAGCCTCTCCTCACAGGCTGTAATTAGACGGCACCAGACTTTCCAGGGCTCACCTGGGCAAGTTGCAACCAAGCTCCTCCCATACTGTGTGTGTGTGTTTGGGCGTGCACGCCTGTGTGTGCGTTTGCGTGTACACTCGTTCTCTCTCCCTTCCTCCCTCTCTCTCTCTAAAGTAGAATGGATTAGCACAGCAAAGCAGTTGCAGATGTCGGGCCAGGAATCGCACCTTGGATGGGGAGCGTGTCACCTGACTCGCTGGGGGCTGGGTGGAGGACCGGCCGGGTGTGCCACGCTGGTGTGCGCGGGGCTCTCTGCTCCGTGGCCTGTTCACCTCCACTGTACCCAACAGTGAAGTTTCCTCACTGAGTTCTCAGATAAAGAACACTGAAACCAGGTCCTCATCTGGGCAGAATGCAAGGTGCCCGCTCCCCGCTAGCTCTCAGGCTCCAGGAGACCAGGGTGCATGGCCTGCGGTGTGCCAAGACCGTGAGGGGTTCTAAGCCTGAGCCCCTGGGGCCGCCTGCCCGCAGGTTCGGGTGAATCACCGCACGCAGTTGCTTCTGACTTTCTCCCTGCACAAACCACACCAGTAAACTAAAAAGACAGAACTCTTCCACCAGATGACACGCTCGTGGCCCCCACGCGGTCATGAAAGCGTCACTGAGAGGCGGGCGGCCGCAGCCCTGCCAGGCGCTCAGCACCAGGTGGCGATCCAAAGTCAGCCATCTTGAGCAGAGGCCCTGGTCTAACCTGCTCTCTGGGAAATGGCATCTGCCAGGTCACCGCCTCTTCCTCCTCCTCCCCAAAACCAAGTCTCAGAGCCGAGACTACAGCTCTCATGGCGCCTCCCCTGCGGACATCACAGGGGCCCCGGCTGGCACTTGGGCCGAGTGCAGCCAGGGGGGCAGAGGGGGAGGCCTGCTTAGGCTGTGGGCTGTCACCCAGGAGCAGAGTGAGGGCCGGGCCGGGCCCGAATGCCCATGAACTAATAGTCCATGAAGCAGGTGAAACATACGGCAACTTTGGACAAGGAGGAACCAAAAACAAAATTTTTTTCCCCGAGATTCTCTGGTCACATCCACTGTGTTCTAACCTCTGTCCCATTGCAGTAACCCTGCTGAATGAACCCGAGCGCCGAGACACGCGGGCCTGTTTCCTTGGCAAAAACAAGGCCCAGGTATTAGATGCTGTCTGAGGCCCCGGATAGGTCTGCGATCATTAGATAATTAGAGAATACAAGACAGCCTATAATTAAGTGCTAATTATACAGTAGCACCTACAGCTGCCAAGGAAGCGCTCGAGCGGGGCAGGGTATTGAGTATGGCGGCAACAACCCTTCAGACTGCAGTGAGCATTAACACCAGCACAGGCTGCCACTTCCCTGTGGTTTGTGGGGGCCACTACTAGCTCCCAGAAACCAGCCAGACATGGATTCCTGTATACCACACCTGTCTTCCCTCAGTCTATGGGTCCCCCTTGCCTACTCATTGTGGCTTTTTCTTTATTCTCTTTCCTAGACTGTTTCCATGAGCACGGTGATGCTGCCTGTAACCCCAGCACTGGGGAGGGTGAAGCGGGAGGATCAAGTGCAAAGTCAACCTGGGATACACTAAGCCCACATATCAAAAAGTAACAAGCATCACTCCATTCAGCAGGAATGGAGAAAAACCACAGTGAAAACAGGTAGGAGCCAGCGTGCAGTCACTGAAAAGGGTTTTCACCTCGGCCATTTGCTATGGCTGGAGCTGAGAGCCCGGCTCACAGGTACAGCCTCTGCCTAACATTTCCATACATGATATCTTGGATTCCACCCCAGCACTGTGCAGGTGCACGCACACACAGGGGAAAAAAAGTAGCGTGGATTCTAAAGTAAGATCCAAAGCCACTCAGGAGGATGAGGTCCGAAGATGCTGGTTCAAAGCCAACCTTGGGCAGGAAAGTTCTAGTTAATCTCCAATTAACCTGCAAAGAGCCAGAACTGGAGCTGTGGCTCAAGAGGTAGAGTACCAGCCTTGAGTGAAAAAAGCTAGGGGACAGTGCTCAGGTCTAAGGTAAAGCCCTAGCACCGGCACAATAAATAAATAGAGAGGTAGATATCTATTATTCTGTGGAAAGCAGTGTGGGCCCCTTTCAAACTAGGAAGAGGATAGAGACAAGCTACCCTGAAAACCAAAACAACCAATGACCTCTTCCTGTTTAAAACTGAGAGGTCGGATTACCGATTCCCTCCAGTTTGTTAGAGGGCTGGCGCTGGCCTGTGCCCCAAACCAGGTCTGTGTCCCTAGCAGCCACATGTTCCATTTATTAAACAGCCACCCAGGGAGGCGGGGAAGGAGAGGTTCAAACGCATGCTCTGAACACGCTGGATTTAAAGAGCACCACTGTTCCAACCCCACGCATGACTTTATGTCCCCATCTTCCAAACGCGCAGGCGGCCCCGGTGTGTACCCAGAGAAAACCACCAGGACGTAAACAACTCACTCAAGTCCTGCTGTGCTCTCCCTCATTTCCTGTGTGTTTATTTTGGTGTTAAAATAACATTAACCTTCATAATAAAGGAAAACAGGAGCAGATGTTTAAAGCCAAACATCCCACCGGTATCTAACTCAACTTCCCAAATCAGAGTTTCTTCCTTCCCCATATCCAGCTCAGAAGAGCAGTGTGTGTACGTGTGTAGTTATGTGTGTGTGTCCGTGCAACACACAACCCAGCCATAAACCAACCTGGACGAGCTTTTGGCAAGCTCTCCCAACTAACTGGAGGCTTACAAATTTAATCTGGTATCCATTTCCTACCCACCCTCTCGTTCCTCTCTACACCAGCCATTATATTATTTTGTTTTTAAAATACCTTATTCCCTGTTGGTGAAGAAAATACAACAGAAATGGCCTTAAAATAAGTTTCTACCTCTTGTTGGCAGGGGAGAGAGACTTGAAGTAAAGAAAAACTAACAGTACATAATTTCACCAGAAACCAGTCGAGTCCTTCGACTCCGCTACCTTCCAAAGAAACCTGCCTCGGAAATCATGAGTTCAAAAACCAAGTTGGTATTTTAACTCAACGTGACAGATGTAGAGAACAATTAAGCCAACTAGCTAGCTTTCTGGGACTAAATAAAAGGATGAGCTTTCCAGAAAGCTTTAAACAAGAGATCTGTACCAATAAAAAAAATTATGTTTCACAAGTTTTGTTGGATTTTTGTTTTTTCTTTCTTACAGGGGAAAAAAAAAACGGGAGTCAGTTTCAACTGGCTAAGACACAGACATGGAATTTTTACATGAAAATCCCGAGCGCGCCGGCCGGGGCCCTTCCGGCTGTGCCACCGTGTGCTTCTTCCAGGAGAAGTCTGCTCAGCTGGCACCACGAGAACATGGACGCCGGCCTACCCAGAGCCACAGCCCCTGACCGCCTCTTCCTGCCAGGCCCGGGCTCGGCACCACGGGCCGGGCCATTACCCCGTTCCCAAATCGCACGTAGATGGGGTTCCCACAGAGCAGGGAAGACTCAGCTTGAGGCACCACGGGGCGGGGGGAGGGGGGGACAGTGCGTGCTCCCCGGGAGCCCGCCCCAGCTGGCCGGGGTGGGGGGTTGGAGTTTGGGGCTTTTTGTGTTGCCTCTGCTTCTGGAAGGGGCGTTGTGTAACCGCTTCACAAGGGGCCCCTCCACTGTCACAGTCACAACTCACCCGGCCCGCGCAGCACAGGAAGTGGGAAGGCAGACAAAGAGGCGGCCTGTGCTGGGGGACACGGCCCTCCCGGGCCTCCAAAGCCGACAGGAAAGCCCTTCATTGTTCGGGACAATCACCGCCGAACACAAGAACTCACTGTAACTTTCCTGCTCCTGGCAACACAGCCCCCCCCCCCCACTGCTGGAATGAATACACACACACACACACACACACACACACACAACACGAATATTGTACCTAAGTATCACAGCCTCTCCCCTGTCCCCCACACACCCCCTCAAAACCACCCAACTTTTGATTTCAGCTCTAGAAAGTTCCTCGCCTAAAGAAAAATGCCAATAGAAATCAAAGAGAAAGCAAAGCCCAAGAGTTCAGAGTCAGTGGTGTGAGGAGCACAAAGCAAACTTTGAACACCCTCCCTGCGGCCCCGCCAGTCCTGGCCCTGGACACCCCCCAGGCAAGAACCAGGTCTGCACGAACCAGGCAGCCCCCCCACTCTACAGACCCACCCACGAACAACACCAAACACTCAGAAGGCAACCCAACCGCGAAAAAGGAGTTTGTTACAAAAACAGAAGGGCAGAAATTTCTAGAATGTCTACCTTCGTAGCACAGAGTGCCGATATTGTTGTTCATCTTGTCCAAGTACTGGTAGTTCAACAGGTCCATCTTCATAAATAGCATTTATTGGGCTCGCAAAGAAAACCAGCTCTTTGCTTGTGTCCCCAAAACAAAAGTTTCTAAATTCAAATGGTTGCTGAGTAGCTCCGGGCTCTCCTTCTCTTCAACTTCACAGAGCGAGGTCCGGCCTCAGCTGAGCAGAGCAGAGCGCGTACAAGTGCAAGGAAAAGAAAAGGGAAATGTACGCACGCACACACACACGAATCGGACTCACAGAAAGCCCTTCAAGGGCTTCTTGGTAGACGTATGTATTGTATCCTCGGTTGAGCATTAAAAAAGAGTTTCAGAAGTCTTTACAAGTCTGTCTTGGAGATGAAAACGTTAAAAAATAAAAAAGGGGTGAAAAAAGAAAAACACGAAGCACATTTCCTAAGACAAAGCGACATTCTCTGCTCCGCTCGCCGCTCCGCGCGCAGCCCGCTGCAAGTTCACTATGCCTGGTATGCCGCCTATGTAAGCCAGCGGCCTCGGGGAGGGGGCTGAGCATGCTCACTGGGGCCGGACGCTGCGGCGGGGCCGGCACAGGACCCGGCTGCAGGGGGAGGGAAAGGGGCAGGAGGGGGAGGGGGAGGGGTGGCTCTTGACAGGAAGCAGCCTGGCCTAGGAGGAGAAAGAAAGTCCAGCAAGTTTCTTTTTCAAGAACTGAGCAGGGGGAAAAAAATCCATGGTGAAAACAAACTTGCCTGGAATCCAACTTGTGTAACTCGCCCCGGCGCAGGGAAGCCCCGCGTTTTTGTGTCTCTCCTTCCCAAGGAGCCTTTGTTTCTTTCCAAGAGGCTGTCAGTGTTACCCAGCTTCTCTCCGGACCCCCCATGCTCAAGGCAGGGGTGACGGCACCTTTTTTACAGCAGAGGAAACTGAGGCTCAGAGGGGCGAAATGACGGACCACTCCAGTCCCCCAAAAAGATGCCAGAACTATTTTTAAAGGGTACCTTTTCCCTCTAATAGAACCAGGCAGTGGACCATGCCTGTAATCCTAGCTACTCAGATGACCTGAGATCTGAGATGGCGGTTCGGAGCCAGCCTGGGCAGGAAACTCCATTCCACTTTTTCCTCCCATAAATAACAAAAACCCAACCGAGCAGCTGTGATCACGTGGTAGAGTGCTAACGCTGAAAGAGAAGAAGAAAAAATAAAGAGGGAGGGAAAGGAGGGAGGGAGGAAGGATGCAAGGATTGACAACCGTGGCTCAAGTGGTAGAGCGTCAGCCTTGAGCAAAAAAGACAGTACCCTGGCCCTGAGTTCAAGCCCCAGTATGGGGGGCAGGGGGGGCGGGGGGGGCAATCAGAAAAGAAAGCATAGTTTTTCTCTGCAAATCTCAACCAACTTTTAGCACCATGAACAGACTAATTTTGTCACCATAAGACATACTAGTTTCGGGGCTGGGAAGGTGGCTCAGTGGCAGAGCGCTTGCCTTGCATGCTTGAGGCCCTGGGTTTGATTCCGCAGGACCACATAAGCAAAAAGAAAAAAGCCGGAAGTGGCACTGTGGCTCAAGTGGTAGAGCACTAGCCTTGAGCTAAAGAGCTGAGGGACAGCGCTCAGGCCCAGAGTTCAGGCCCCACAAATGGACCCAAAAAGACATACTAGTTTCTATACTGATGTTATTATATGCAATTGGGGGGGGGGTTGGCTGTGGGGCTTGAACTCTGGGCCTAGGGGCTGTCCCTGAGCTCTTCAACTCAAGGCGAGTGCTCTGCCACTTGAGCCACAGCGCCACTTCTGGTTTATTGGAGATAAGAGTCTCACAGACTTTCCTGCCAGGGCTAGCTTTGAACTGCGCTCCTCAGATCTCAGCTAGGATTACAGGCGGGAGCCACTGGTGTCTGGCTGTCTATGCCAAGGAGTGTGCTGGACTATGGACCAAAATCTGAAATCGGCAGGCACCCTTTGAAAAATTTCACACGTTACCCCTGGGGTAAAGCTGCTCCACAGCCCAGCTGGGGTCTGCTGACACCCGTGTCCTGGGGCTGCCCCTGCCCCTGGGGTTGGAGGGGAAGAACAGAGACCTCACAGGCCTAGGTGGTCTCGAGAGCACAGCGGGGGCGGGGGGAGGTTAGAAGGAGCCTCGGACCCCAGGTGAGGCCAGCGCCACCCCCCGCCCATTCCCCGCAGCAGATCTCCAGCGTCTCCCACAGCCACCACACAGGGCCAAGCGCCGCAGCTGTGTTTCTGGGTGCTCTCACACAATCCCATGCTGACGTTGCTGGGGTGGCTCCCCAAGCAGGCTGAGAGGCGCGAGCTCCGCGGAGTCTTCTTCTGTGAGGACAGACTGGAGCATGCGATATGGAGGACCTATCCAGCAGCTTCCCATTTTAATTCGGTGACTCGGGGCTCCAGGGGACACCGTTAGTGGGGACATGACCGGCCCCAGCCAGGCCTGCACCACTGCCGGTCACCGCAAGGGTGGACGCAGTCCACGGAGGGGCCCCCACACCGGGGTGCCTCCATAAGCAGTCTCTAGGAGACAGGAAGACCCAGCTTGGAGGCCAGCAGGAGACCCTGTCTGAAAAGCTATAGTAGGCCCAGGGCTAGCACAGGCTCACCATGGCAGAGCACCCGCTAAGCAAGCAAGCCAAGCCAGCATATCAAGTCCTGAGTTCAAAGGCTAGGAACAGTAAAGGAATTATGATTTTGTGTGGGTTTTTTTTTTGGGGGGGGGCCGTTTGTGGGGCCTGAACTCTGGGCCTGGGCGCTGTCCTTCAACTCTTCAGCTCAAGGCTAGTGCTCTACCACTGGAGTCACAGCACCACTTCCGGCTTTTTTTCTTTTTTGCTTATGTGGTGCTGAGGAATTGAACCCAGGGCCTCAGGCATGCAAGGCAAGCACTCTACCACTGAGCCACCTTCCCAGCCCGGAATTATGATTTTAAAAATTGAGACTGACATTATTTTCTACTTCTATAGTTACTGTATTTTACTGTATTTTATTCATAAACAACCCTCATCTGAAAATAGGAAATCCAAAATTCTCCAAAACCCTAAACTTGGGTTTTTCCACTCAAGAGTTGGCATTCCACCACTTGAGCCACAACTCTACTTCCCCAAAGCGTCAACTCCTCACTGCCCACAAGATGCCACCACTGGAATATTCCACTCGACGAACCTCTGCTACATCCAAAATTAAACGGTAAAACGTCCCCTTTCAGGCAATGTGTGCAGAATACGTGTGACATGCTAGTGAGTGCCACGGTTACACACGGGCCTCAGCCCCAAGGTATCTCACTACATAACATCCTACACAGACACACTGCCAGCTCCAAGTTCCGGCTAGAGTCACTCAAAACAGGCTCACGCCTATAACCCTACATGCTCAGGAGGCTGAAGTCTGAGGATCAACGTTTAAAGCCAGCCCAGACAGACAAATCTGACAAGATTCTTACCTCCAATTCACCAGCAAAAAGCTGGAAGTGGAAAGTGCAGCTCAAGTGGTAGAGTGCCAGCCTTGAGTGGGGAAAAAAAGAGCAAGGCCAAGGCTTGCAGGTGAGCACGCGCACGCACAAGCATGCATGCATGCACGCATGCACACACACACACACACACACAGAGTAAGGAAAAGTCACAGAGGAGCCTACTGACTAGTCTGAAAACATCATCGTATGCTTTGCTCATCTATTAGCAACAACATCAAGTAGTGAGGCAGAACACAGATGAGACGCACGTGTGGCGGGGGAGGGGCAAGGAAAGGTGGGGCGGGGCAGGATGAGCGTGGGCCCCGGCCCAGGACAGCGCCCGCTGGCCCAGGACAGCGCCCACTGGCCCAGGACAGCGCCCACTGGCCCAGGACAGCGCCCCCGGCCCAGGACAGAGCCCGCTGGCCCAGGACAGCGCCCGCTGGCCCAGGACAGTGCCCGCTGGCCCGGGGAGCCCGGCCCTGGCTCCATCCTCTACTAATAGAAAAAAGAAAAACTGGAAAAAAGCCACTTGATCTAAGTATTTTTTTTTAATGAGAAAAAGAATATGAGAAAGAAACAAAGAGTTAATGTGTTCTTGAGAAACCACTCAGCCTCATTCATTAATTGAAGAAATACAAATTTTAGAAATTAAGTGATGTTTCCTTAGGACAAAATAACGAAAGGGCTTTTTCAGTCCTATTGTTATTGCTTGGTGAGGTAAGATGCCACTGGAATTGTCCCTTGCCAGTCCCAGGGGGACACCCAGAGGACCCAGGACCCATACAGCTGTGGGCACTGCGCCAGGTACCCACGCCAGCTCAGCCTCTGCTTCTATCCAGTAAGCCCCGATCAAGGTGCTGCCGAATTCATGTTTGCATGCTGCCCTCCACGCCTCATGCTTCTTTTCCTCTTTGACCTGGTCTGGCCAGGTGGAGGCCAGCGGGCCTCCAATCCCTAACCTTCACGTTCCTGGAGCCTCTGCTGCCCAAGGAGCTCACACGGAGCACGGCTCGCCTCTCTTGAACTCTGGGCTTGGGCACTGTCCCTCAGCTCTTCAGCTCAAAGCTGGTGCTCTACCACTTGAGCCACAGCGCCACTTCCGGTTTTCTGGTGGTTTATTGGAGATTAGAGTCTCACGGATTTTCCCGCCCAGGCTGGCTTTGAACCGTGATCCCCAGATAGATCTCAGCCTCCTGAGTAGCTCGGATTACAGGTGTGAGCCAACGGCGCCCAGCTTTGTCTCTCTTTTTCTTGTGGGCATTTCTGCAGCGCTGGGAATGGGAGCCAGGCTGGCATGGGGGGGGGGGTGAACACCAGCTCTCCGTACAGGCCCCTCCACAGTCATTACAGCCACAGCTCAGCATCTTGTGGGCTGGAAGCTGGCTGAGGTGAAGGCAGCCGGCAACCTGGGGTAATTACTGAACTGAGCTGTTCTGTTTCTAGCATGCACAGAGGAGACTGCCGATTTAGATCACCAAAGACAAGCTGCTCACATTAAAGCCAGACGACAGAAATCACCCTCCGACATTAAAAAATAAATCCGCCCGCTTTAGCTGAGCACTTGGTACAGGTGGGAGGGCTTCATCAACGTCGGGTCTGACCATCTCCGGAGACACTGGAAACATTCATAGCCCCAGCGAAAGCTGCTTTGCCCACCAGGTCTTCTCTTGACAGGATTTTAAGCAAGCTGGATTAAAGGCGGAGGTGTTTTTCTTTTCTCTCATTAGATGTTCAATTAAAAAACACTTCTCACAACTGCTATCTAAATAAAAATCTAAACATTTCTTACCAGGGGAAGAAAATAGGCCTGACTGTAGGTTGATGAAGGTGCAAGGCTAATTACCTGCAGCCCCCCAGGTGCAGCATGGGGGGGGGGGGGGGGAGGCGAGCCCAGGGTGGAATCCCCAGGCTCTGAGAAGGCCAGGAGCACTCCGACCACCACCAGCTACAGCTCCAGTCCAAGGAAAGCGCTAAGTTAAAACCCTGGATCGGCAGCGTTAAAGAAGACTTAAGAAAGAACACACACCCTCTTCTTTAAACATTGTTTAG